CTCAGGGGCGCATAACACGTCCGAACATCTCAATTCTTCTCCAATGCAACTTGCACCATATTTCATCTCGCACGAACATTCAAATCTCAGATGCGTTTATGCATTATAAACAGACACATGTGCAAATAGAAATTGTGCATTCGTGGACAAGCCCATGTGAACCTGAATGTTTTCGTATCGAAGGGAGTAGGAGAGGAAGGAGAGACAGGTACGGCAGGACACAGAATGACAAAAAAGATTGTCATCCGCTATCAGAAAAAATCGTCATCATAATGAGTCGCGATATACTTTAAACTAACCAGATATTTGAATGAAAGTTATTTTATCTGTAATTTTTATTATAATATTTTTTCGTCTTTGTTTAATATTCACAAATTGAATCCGCAATCAGAATCAGAGACGTCTGTAATATTTTGTTAAGTATAATGATAAATAGTCTCGACAAAAATATGGAAAACTTTTAATATTGTAATAAATCAAAGAAATCAGCGTTAATGAAAATTAATAAAGTATTTGAAATATTTGATTAATAATTATATTTTACATCTGTTTATGAATACATTATAGAAAGGAGATCACAAATATAAATTCGTCAAATTATAAGATGGTGTTTGTTTGATAAAGTTATGAAGATAATTATGTTTATATATTTGTAATTATTGATTGTACAAATCTGTGACATTGGTTCATGCCTATCATTCCTGTTTCGAAATATCTTTTGAAACTTTTTGTCCTGAGAATTTCAAATATACTGTCATCTATCCAGGCAACACAATCCACACATATTTCTCTGTACTATTAAAAATTTATGACGCGTAAAGATAATTTATTAAAATAATCACATATATATATATATATTCTTTTCAAAATACATTTTAATAAAAATAATAAAATCTTAATTCATCAAAATTCGTTATACAAGATTATTGCTGATGTTGCCCATATTTTAACTATCTTCTGCAATATACTGATGCACTTTTGCTTGAATAAATTATCATTAGAAATAATGGTAGATGCTGTTGCCTGGGACAATCATTGAACTACAGTCCTTGGTTTTCCAGCGGGTGCCATTAAGCATCAAAGCTTAAATCTAACAAGCGAAAAAGCCGGATACTAGGTCTGAACGTCCTTGCTATAGGCACGAACTTACAATACATTGCCCGATTCACGAGATTCGTTTAGAGCACAGAGCATTCAAGTTGTAAGCAACGTCTCGGCGCTTGTTAATGTCGATTTGAATGTCCTCGCTCTGTCGGTTCTCATTCAATTCAATGAAGAGTGAAATTTAGTTCGGCGGAGAAGCTTTCTAGCCGTCTTCAAAGTCTGTTTGAGCGTTTTTTTTTTTGTATTGCAATCATATTCGGGAATAAAAAAGAACACGAGGGAGGACGGATTTAGATTAATACTAACGTACCTACGATTTTTAGATACTAATAAAAAAAAACAACCTAAAAGTAATTGTAAAACCTAAAAATACTTGTAATACCTATATTTACCGATTATATAGGACCTCATATGACTGAGACGGTTATTTGAAGGTTTTTCTTAATGACTGAAATTGAATTACCGACTAATCAAGTAAATTAGTGGCATGTGAATGTCAATCGATCACAGTGATAAATGGCGTACGTATGTATCTCGCAAATTTATTGTCGTGCATAGTGCACAGTAAAAACAACACGGGCAAATGTATTTTTTGCGATAACTACGCAATCAATAGACAAAATTCCAGTTGTCATATTTCTTGTGTTTTTTTCTCGAATTTATAGGAGATTAAAGGGGTGATCGATATAATAAATGTGAGCTGAAATATTACAATTGTAACATTTCTCAAAGACGACAAAGTAGAATGCTTTAGTATTAATATCTTCGAGAGTTACATTTTGAGAATTTGATGTTGTAATAAAAGAATTTTATTATTTATTTTATTTGAAGCAATTATATTTTTTGCTTTTTGATAGTCTTTCTTTAACATTTCATATATTGTACTGTTACGTCCAGACTCGAGGAAGGATGAGTCGACGGAAGGGCGCAACAAC